CATCGCTGCCTACGCCGACGGCCAGAGGCCCGCGCATCTACATTTTTTCGCCTGACCCCATCAGTGCCGACCCAACTACACCACCACGCGCATGCCTCGCGGCGGATATGCGCAGCAGCAAGAAGGTTTCGGTCATCCCTTGAGGGTGAATCTAGCCCTGCTCGCCAGAAAGACCCCCCCCTTCACTACAACCCATGTCTAAGCAAAAGCTTGTCGAGGAGCGAGGGGAAGAAGGGAGAAGTCTTTACGCTCCGATTTTTGCGACGTGTGTGGCATATGGCAGCGAGGCGGTCTTGTTTTGGGGGACCGGGCAGCAGGTGCCGTGGCCGACACAATCGCGGGTGCTGTGTTGGAAGTCCGCCACAACAGTAGCTCGCGTGGGTAGCCGCAATGTAGAGTGCACCGTAGGTTGCATAAGCTACCCCACCCCATGAAAAGAAAAAAAGGACCTATACTGCTGTTCCACGATGAAGATGCCGAAATCAAACGATACATCTTCGGAAAGCTCTCGACGAGACAGCGCCAACGCCAACGCCAACGCCACCATCTCCGGCACGGTCACTGTTTTCCGTGCAGACAACCTTGATCCATGGGCTGGACAACCTGCCGTATGTAGTTCGGGTCTGGATTCGAGAGCTCAGAAAAGGAGATCCTTTCAAGAAACCGCGGGATCGGTTTGTTTATCTACGTAGTTCACGTCTTGGATGTGTAATAGAGGTACGATCTACAAGCAGTGTCAAACCACGATGCCAATCGGTCGCCATCGTGTAAAGAAATTGGCCCCAACACCCCGCGGTGAAATCGTTGACCCCATTTCTCCGCATTGAAGTGTCCTCTTGCAAACCCTTTTTTTGACTTGAACGTTGCAGTTACCCTTCAGTACGTGTGTGTAATAAAGCGAGAATCGAGGTGTGTGTTTCGTATAAGCGGGTCGGTCGTATCGGTGTGTATTAACACGAACTGCCACTGCTTTATGCCCACACAACGCAGAGAGCGATAACTTCGCGTGTATGCAAACACCGAAAGCTTGAAAAAATATAGATGAGTCTGTACGATCTGGTGCATGTGG